CTTCTTTGCTTCCAAATATGCCTTCCTTTGGAATAATCTTCTGCCAGAAATTAGACCATCGCCTAAGTTACTGGTATACAAGTCGAAATTACGCAAACACCTTACAACCGAATGCATAAAGGCACTGTTAACGGTCTCATTCTCAAACACTCAGTTTCTTGACTTCGAGCAGGGTCCTCCTGGGGTTTAGCGGTAGATCAAGTAGTAACCCTCAATTATGCCATTCGAAACCCCTGTTTTGAATTGGTTTCTAAATCCACTGCTATCACTCCTTCCCCACAGCGAAGATTTGCGCCGTTCTTGATGCTCTCTCATCATTTCGGCCTCAAGCGGTCTGTCGACGCTCACGGCGGAACCCTCAGTATTCGCTGTCTACTAGTAGTTTGGTCGTACCTCCCTTCCCCACTCCTCGGCTGGGCTCGAAGCTTACTGTGGCCAATCGCGTCTGGGTTCCTCTCGTCTGGCCTCTTTGATGCGAATAGTCTCATGCGGCGTATCAATTCTGCCCTGACGATATCTGGTCTGAATCCCAAATACAATACCACATGCAGGCCAGTCCTGTCCGGCCCGCATACATACCCCTCAAGGCTGACATTCATTTCTGCCCTGACGATGTCCAATTACAATCCGCTATATACTGTCACATGCAGGCCAGTCCTGCCCGCATTTTTATGTTATTACTTTTTATCGAGGCGTTTTTTCTACCGTAAAATTAATCCAACCATTTTTAAATTGTTCATTGGAGTTTTTTCACCTCTCGCTAGTAATTTTTCTCAACAGTCTACTAATTCAGAAACTATGAATTAAATTTTGTACAGATTCTGTCTACCTCGTCTAAAATTCGTATGAAAATTTATTCTTACTTGCTTTACTTGCTTTTCAATAAAAAAAATATTACTATTAAGACTCGACCACTCCGCTTCCGACCATCCATTGACCGGGGAAGTTCTAGAAATTATGACTTTCACTCTGTGGGATGTGACTATTGCGATTCGGCGTTTGCGTCAATCTCATAGCCCAGGACCTGCTGGTGTCCCAGCAAACATTTTAAAAGCCGATGCAAATACGATTTTCCCATCCCTCTTATTCAATCTATTTAATTTCGCTCTTCAAAGTGAAACTTATTCCACCTTATGGAAGGAATCACACGTTTTGTCCATTCCTAAGCACGGAAATATTTACGTCATTTGATTACTTTCGACCAATAAACACTCTCCCCGCAGTTTCGAAGATCTTAGAGACACTGATCGGAGATAAGATGATGTGTCACTTAACAGAGAATAACCTACTGAGTGTTGCTCAACATGGATTTCTCAAAGCTCAGTATTGTGACACCAGTCAACTCTCTTTCTTTGACTATGTTCTCCAATCTAGGGACAATGGTTTCGCACTTTACACAGTGTATTTCGATTTCACTAAGGCTTCTGATCGTGTTGATCATGCTCTTCTTCTCTTACAATTGTCCTCTTTCGGAATAGGTGAAAACCTTTGAATTTTATATCCTCTTACCTGGGCACTCGTACACAACGAGTTAACATTTCCAATACTATCGCTAACCCCACACGTGTAAGGAGTGGAGTCATCGAGGGTAGTGTACTCGGCCCGCTTTTATTTTGCCTTTTCGTTAATGATGTGCCCGATTTATTTCACTATCCTAAACCTTTCATATATGCCGATGATCTTAATGTTGCATATCGATTTAAGCAAGCAGATCATGACATCGTGCATGAGCTCCTAATGAGCGATCTACGGGCTTTCGCCCAGTGGTGCCGCACATGGCGCCTTTCTCTTTCTTGGCATAGGGGCTCAGTCATGGTGGTTGGCGATGACCGCCGTCCTCAACTAAGTATTGAAGGTCACGCCATAAATGTGTCTGGGGTTATTAAGGATCTGGGCGTATCATACTCCAAGAGTCTCAATCTCTCGGAGCGCTGTGGCTTGATAGTCTCCAAAGCACGTAGTACGACCGGGTTTATCCTCCGAAACATTAAAACTAGGGACATTTGAATGCGCCTTTTCAACATGTACGTTAGACGTTGGCCTGGAATACTGTTCCCGTTTATTTAGCCTCATGCGTGCTACTGAGCGGAAGAAAATAGAATCCATTCGACACTTTTTTACCAAGAGAGTTTTAACCTCGAAACACCGACATTTTTCTTACTAAGAACGTTGCCGGCTTACGGGCCTTGATCCCTTATGATTCCGTAGATTACGAAAGGGACTATTTTTGCTATTTAAACTCTTATATAATCACACATTTAACCCACTCACCTCTTTAAGACACCATGTCCACCCACGACGTAACAGTCACCGTGAGGTCTTTTTATTTCTTCCTCTGGAACGTACTGTTAAACATCGT